TTGGACTTGCAATGGCTTCTGCAAAGGGGGGGCAGGCAGTCTTGTAGGACTGAACCTAAACCTACAGAGTCTGTCTCCAGGTCATGGTGTCAGGCAGAAGTTGTCAGAATTGCATTGAATTGCAGGACCCCCCCGCAGCTGGTGCTTAGTGGTGCGAGGGGAACCCCACATCCCAGTAATACAGGGGGGTGGGCAAAAGTAGGTTTGCCATGGTTACACAAATAACTAACACAACCATTAATAAAGAATAATACAAGAATAAATTCTGTTTCATGTACTCATAACTGTAAACCTGCTTTTGCCCACCCTGGCATAGTCACAGGTTTTAGGGGTCACAGTGTGAACATGTTTGGGGGCTTATCTTCATCCACCCTCTGGCCCTCGAAGATTCTTGTCCACCCTCCCCCACCCCAGCAAAGCATATTCAACTCAGCTGAATTTCACTTAGAGGATTAAGTCACACACCAGTAGACGCACAGTGAGGACCCAGTATTGCCAGGCCCTTTTGTGGGCCCTGGAGATGGCCCAGGGCTGCTTCCCCTTCTCCCGGAGGGAGAGAAGCCCTCAGCTGGCTGTTGGGGGTGGTAAGAACAAAGCAGGATGGGGCAGAGGGGGGTCGGGCGAGGCCCCATCAGTGAGGGGACTGCAGGAGACTTGAGGGAGGTGCAGAGCCAGTACAGGAGGGGCGGGGGCTCAGCTGGTCTGAAGAATGTGTCCACAGGTTGGATGCCGTCACTCCCAGGACATTCAGTAAATGCCACACATATCTGAGTGAGATTAGACAGGGGCCCTGCTTTCATGGAGGTTAGAGTTGTAAGATTTTTTAAAAATACTTCTTTTTGTTATTTGAAGAGAGAGGGGAAGGGAGGGAGAAAGAGAGAGAGGACTATCCATCGGTTGCCTCTCACACACATACCGACCAGTCACCAAACCCCCAGCCCAGGCATGTGCTCTGACTGGAAGCCAGACCAGCAACCTTTTGCTCTGTGGGTTCGCTGCCCAACCGACTGAGCCACACTGGTCAGGGCCGGAGGCTGCCAGTTTGCAGAAGAGACCCCTTCACCGTGGCATTAATGAAGCCTCCCTTCAGGCCCCTTGCTCGGCAAGACCCCACCCCAGGCGCCCTCTGTTCTCATCCTACGCAAAGGCTCTCCTGTGGACTTAGGAACTCACCCCAGGGGCTTGCTTTTCTAAACTCCGGCCTCCAAGCAGGACCCACCAAGCCTAGACCTGCCCACGCTGGTGGGTGAACGTCGTAGCTACCCAATGTATGAGCGAGGGCAGCTCGAGAACGTGTCCTGCAAGAAAGGGAGGGGGTCCCAGGTGGGCCCGAGACAGAGGGAAGCCTGTGGTCAACAGACTTATTTCTGCAGACAAGGGCTGGAGCCAGGACCTAAAGGGGCTGAGAAGGCCCCTCGGGTGGGACGAAGAATTGGGGGAGATGGACCAGAAGGGAAAGGAGCGTATATGGTATTCATCTGAAAAAGAAGGCAAGCCGTTGAAGATGTGGAAAGGAGTTGAAACGGTCTCTCAGGCCAGTTGGTGGAGATCTCATGGGAGAGGAATGTTCATGTCCTCCGGCCAAAGATAAGCAGAGATACACCGATAGTCCTCGGGGACGAGTTCTCAGCCTCCTGCTGGGGGGGGGGGGGGGGGGCTCGGAGACACTGGGGCGGCCAGGTCACATGAGGCCGAGAGGGGATTACTCTAGGATTTGGCTTCTGCTGGATGATTGTCCCAGGTCCCAGGAAAGCGGGGACCAGCTCTCAGCAGAATACGGTTGCCTGTTTAGCAAGAGGGTGCTGTGAGAGAGAGGTGTTAAAACAGAATGTCCCCTGTGGCCGAAGGGGAAAGACAGCCGCCCTTTCTTTCTCTGTCAGAGCATTTCCTGGAGCAGCTGTGTGTGAGTGTGAGTCCGTCCTGTGTCTGAGAGGTGTGTGAATCTGTTTTGTGTGCTGTGATTTTAAACGGTGGTCAACGAGACATAACAGACAAGGTACCCCTTAAACTGGCTTAAAGAAGGCAGCTGACTGGCACTGAGGACGTTCACGAGGTTGTGCAACCATCCCTACGGTCTCCTTCCAGAACCTTTCCACCCTCCTAAGCGGAAACTGTCTCCACGAGGCCAGAACCCTTCATTCTTCTCCTGCCCGCCCCCAACCTCCCAAACCCGTCACGATGGCCCATTTCTCTGAATTTTCCTAATCTAGGTATTTCATCTACATGGCCTCACGCAATGTCTGGCCTTTCACGTCAGCTTATGTCACTCCGCATCGAGTTTTCAAGGTCCTTCCACACTGCAGGGTGGGTCAGAACCTCCTCCCTTCTTATGGCCAAGTAACAGCCCATGTGCAGATACACTACAGTTCAAAAACCTTTTAAAAAGTAAACAAAGAAAAAACAAGCCTCTTGCCCCACTGTACTGGCCCAGGAATGTTTTCCTTGAGGGTCTGGGAACCGTTGTCTAGAAATGAAATTGCGGGGCAGGAGGTGTCCCCAGCTCCCTAGATGTGGAAGGGTGACCTGAGCGCCCCGCTTCAACCCTGCCCGTCATAAAAAATGACAGGTTTTATTATCCCTGGAGACAGAAGCAGTCAGGTAACCCCATGGGGCGCTACCAGATAAGCTTAGGGTGAACCAGAAAGGAATGTCTTACAAAGGCACAGTTAGGTCCTCCTATGTGAGGACAAGTTACCGTTAATCTCGACCACGCGCATAGAATGCAGTGCATGACTGAACACAGAAAAGGGTGGGTTTCCCTCTGTCTTTGTCCCCTCACTGGTAGGGGACCTGTGACGGCATTGCAGTGTGGTTTAATGCTGGTTCAGCAATCAAACAGTTCCCCTCCGGTAGAGCTGTGGTGAGGAGTTTCTGGATTGGCAAGAAATTTTGCTGGTTTTTTCCCCTGACAACATTTTGATCATCTTTGATCAGAAGACAGGAAAACAGGAGGGCCAGGGTGTCACTGATTAAACAGCAGTGGTGGCTCATGAGAATGGCTTACCTACCACCTGTGCAGCTGAGGGGTCTGCCTTCCACGTAACAGGCTGGAAACTGTCCATCAAGGGCCATGGGAGCTGATTTTCACACTCTCCGGGCCAGGGTGGGGGCCAGGAGAACAGAGAGGAGCCACAGGGCAGACATGGGCTAGGACTGGCTGAGGAGACAGAAGGAGACAGATGAGAAACATCAGGAGTGATCTTTCAGCAAAGAAAATTGTTTTCTCTGTTTCAAATACTGACGCACAAGAACCTAACTTCTGCTGGGCATTTGGACCTGGACAGTGCTTCCCAGCACACGCAAGGTAAACTCCAGCCCTCTCTCCAGACCCTGGGGGACCTGACAGAAGTCAGCAGAGTATGTGTGGTAGTTGAGCACAATGCATTCATGATAATGTAGATACTGTCTCATCTAATAGGAAGAGCTATTGTTACCCTCATTTTCATAGGTGAGAAAACCAAGGCACCGAGATGTTAACCCGTGGGGGGCATTTGCATGGTGAGGTGCCAAGGACAGGGACAAGTTCTGGTCCTAGGCAGAAGCCACTGGGAGGGACAAGGTAAGTGGAACGCTGGGGGTGTGAGTCCCATCCCAGGTGAGTTCGATCCCAGGGGCCCACAGGGAACATCCAGTGACTGGTTGGCTAAGCGAGTCCAGGTCTCAGAGGGGCAGGCTGAACGGAAGAGAGGAATGTGAACACCTGAACTGGCTTTGGGCTGTCATTCAAAGTGTGGGCAGGGGTGGGAAAGTGAAAGGGGGGGCCTGTCGCTGTGCCCCCTGGTCCCCCAACACCTACCCTCTGGGTGAGCCTGCAAAGGAGACAGGGAAGGAGCAGCTGTAGGGACGGGGCGGGGCCATGTGGATCAAGGTGAGTCAGCCTTTCGAGAAGAAGCAACCGGGTAAACAACCATGAAGGTCCGTCCAGACTTGGTCCCAGCTCTGCCAGACTCCAGGGCCTCCTCTAACCCTTCTGTTCTAATGACTGGGGTCTCGGCTGCCACGCTGGCACTGACCCCCCAATTCCTATGTCGAAGCCCCAACCCTCTGTGATATATTTGGAGACAGGGTCTTTAAAGAGATCGTTGAAGTCAGATGAGATTGTGAAGGTGGGTCCTCATCCAAAAGGTCTGGGTGTCCTTATAAGAACAGGAGTTAGGAGACACACATGCACACACCCCCATGTGAAGGCACCAGGAAGACAGTCATCTGTAAGCCAAGAAGAGAGGCCCCAGAACAAAACCCCAACCCCGGTGGGTGACACCTTGATCTCACACTTCTGGCCTCCAGCACCACGAGCAAATAACTCACTGTTCAGCCACTCAGCCTCTGGCACTGGGTTATGGCGGCCCCAGCCAACCAGTGCAAACAGTGACACATCTTTCAACAAACGTATTGAGATGAAATTCACATAACATAAAATGCAACCTTTTAAAGTGAGCGATTCCGTGGCATTTAGTACATTCCCTCTGTTGTACAACCACCACCTCCGCCTACTTCCAATAACCTCTCCATCGCCCCGAGATAAAACCTGTGTCCATTAAGCAGCTTCTCCCTGTTCCCCCATAACACGCATTTATCAAGCGCTTCCTCTCTGCCAGGCACTGGAGTATGTTTTACATAAGTGGACTCATGGATCTTCTCAACAGTCCCAGGAGGCCAACATTATTATTATCATCCCCATTTAACAGATGAGAAATTGGGTCTCAGAACGGCTAAGTAACTCACTCCAAACAACCGGTTAGACAATTGCAGTAGACAAGTATTAAGAATCTGCTGTGTGCAGGACCTGTGCCGAATAACAGGACATCCAGACAGTCCCGATTCCAAAGTTGCTTCTGATCTAATGGGACAGACACAGGTTAAACAATTATAAATTCAGTAAACAACTACAAGACTGCACAATGCTGGGAAGGAACCGTTTCTATTCTGGGGCTGGGCGGAGGGAAGGGAGGCCCGGAGGAAGAGGAGGAGCAGAGTGTGGGCATAAACCTGTCAGGAGTGGGAGTAGTACATGGGTGGGAGGAAAGAGCAGCCTGGCCTGCGTGTGGTCACTGAGGGAGAGAATGGCTTCAGACAGGCATGGAATGGTAGGTAGGGGTCTGTCCCTTCGCAACAATGTTAGGGATTTCAGATTTATTTCTAAGGGCAATAGAGAGCCGTGGATGGCTTAACACCATCCATTGAGGGTGACTTTACTACTTGAACTGTCTCGGGACATTCTGATTTTCCATTTCCAGGCGGGGGGGAATTTAGTGAGCATTCCGTGTACTGAAACAGCTTGTTCTGTGAGCTCCTGAGAGGCAAGGACACCCGCTTACTCACCTCCGTGTCTCCAGGGCACAGCGTTGGGCCTAGCACTCATCTAACCTGAGTTTTTTGTTTTTTTTTTAAAGATGCAAGCAGAGAAAAAAAGAAGGATTCAAATACAGGCTCTACGACTTTTTGTCTTGGTGACTTTGAACCAGTGACACCCACCCTTATGAGCTTTGTTTTCCTTATCTGCAGAACAGGTATAAATAAGGTACCTACCATAGAGGGCTCAAATGGGGGGCCCTTGCAGACCCGAAGTAAAATGCTTGCACAGAACCCACACCGGAATATTAGGTTTGTTACGATTCCAGCATACGGGTTTACAGCACGGTTAAGGAAAAGTCAGTTAGGTCTGTATTAACATTAGGTAGGACAAGGGACTCTGAGCAAGTCTGGTTATCCCCCTGAATCCTCAGTTTCCCCATCTGTAACTTGGGGGGGAATAAGAAGAGTTCATAGGGTTACTGGGAAGGTTCAGTGAGTTCATGCACAAGAAGGGCCAGGCACGTACATTCTTGCCGATTCACGATTCACGACTCCAAGGCCCACATCCCAGTTGTTTTCCAAAACTTGTTTTTTTCCCTTGGTCTCCGAGGAGGGGCGCTCTCAGCAGGAACCGGGGCACGCGGAGCTGCGCCCGCGGGCATGGGCGGGGCGACCCTTGCGCCCACCCCGTGAGTCAGGTGGGCGGGGCGAGAAGGGATTTCCCCAGAGCGCGCGCGCAGCGGCCGCAGGTATTCGGACAAGATGGCGGAGGCAGCGGTCGACAGCCCGATGGAGGTGGTGCAAGCGGTGGTGGACGAGGCTATGCCCGACGAGGCGGGCCTCGGCTGCTTGGTCAGCCTGCCCGGCGAGCTGCTGGAGTACATCCTGTGCAGCGGCCCGCTGGCGGCCACGGACATCCTCCACGTCGCCAGCACCTGCCGGAGACTGCGGGAGCTGTGCCAGAGTAGCGGGAAGGTGTGGAAGGAGCAGTTCCGGGTGAGGTGAGTCCGCTGCCCCGGTCGCTCGTGCCCCGTTTTGCGCACCCCCGGCCCGGGCCACCGCCGGCCCCTCCGGACGCGCGCGCGCGCGGATCGCAGCCCCGATGCCACCCCCGGACCCCTTCCCGTGGACCGACAGACAAAGGCCTCCAGGCCGCTGGCCCCTCGGTCCACACCGCGCGGACCCGCGCGGACCCTCCGGTGCCCAAATTGCGCATGGGGAGCGCCCAGCAGCTGGGCCCTCACTCACGGATGAGGGCGGTAGTATCACAGCTAGTCCGTTCTGAGCGCTTCTTTTGTGCCCGACTCTGAGCTAAAATGTTTACAGGGATCCGGGGATGCGGGGATCCCAACAGCCCTTACGGGAAGCGGGCGCAGCATCCCCTGGCTGTTGGTTGAGAGCACGGATCTCGGTTTGGGACCTGGGATAAATTCTGGCCCCGGCATCCTCGCCGTATGACCTTGGGGTAGACTTCTCTTTTTGGAGCCTCATTCATCCACTTTGGTGATAATTGGACATACCTTTATGGTTATTAAATGAGATGATGTGTCAGGAGCGTTTACACAGGGCCCAGCTCTTAGGAGGCACCCCATAAATGTTCACTGTCATTGTCATCACTATCGTTATTATCGCTACAATTGTTCCCATTTCATCGGTGGGGAGTGGAGACAGCATTCACATCGCTGTGCCAAGGTCACACCGTGCGCGGGTGCATGCGTGCCAGGTGGGGGAATTGAACTAGGTCCATCGGCCGGGCCCTTCTGACCACGAAACCATACTGCTCTCCCTGTTTTCCAAGGCTGCCTTTGATTCCTGTCTGCCCGCCTGCCTGCCTTTGAGTCTGTTAAGCCGAGGGGGTGTTTTTTTCCTCGTAGGTGGCCTTCCCTTATGAACCACTACAGCCCCACCGACTACGTCAATTGGCTGGAGGAGTATAAAGTTCGTCAAAAATCTGGGGTAGAAGCCCGGAAGATTGTAGCCTCCTTCTCAAAGAGGTTCTTTTCTGAGCACGTAAGGATCTGGCCTTGTAGCTCTACGTGTTTGCCTGGCAGTGGGGGGGGGGGGGGCGCGGGGGGTGTGTGTGTGTGTCTGTAGGCATTAGCTCATCCAGCTTTTTTTGCTATCTCCCTTTTCAGTTGCTCTCATCACAATCCCTTACTCATTTAGATGGCTGCAAGAGTCACTGTGTCCTTTTCCTGCTCTCCAACAACATGGAGCCATTTGTCCCTGCCAGCTTTACTTTTCGGAAGCCAGGGAGAGAATGGGGGTGGATGGGAAGGGAGGGACCAGCTACACAGTGTAGAGGGGATCCTGATCAGCAATGTTTCTCCACAAGTGGATTGACCAGCGATGTTTCTCCACAAGTGGATTGACCGGATTGACTTGGGGGAACCATCAAAGATTGAATACTGTTTGAACACTGCACATTTCGCCCAGTTGTTTGCCCAAAAGGGTTGGTGAAATTGATACAGTTCTTCACTCTGGCTTTGTAGGTTCCAGCCAGTAGTGAACTGAGTTATTTGTTAAGCTAACAGGATTAAGAGCTATCTGTAAATCAGAATTATTACCTCCTCAAACAAATCATTTTGCATTTATTATCTCTGAAAAGTTCTTTTTAAAATATTGCTGAAATGCCTGGGCTTTTTGTTTTTCCTTCCACAAAGTGTCCACAGAAGTTTCTGTATCAGATCCTGAGAACTTTTTGTAACTCTGGAAAATAGTCTATACTAATATTGTAAATTTATTTCTGATAGGGTGAGGAGGGAGTGCAGCTAGCCATTCTGACTTACTTTACTATCCTGGTTTCTTGCAGATTCATTCCTGTTTTCTAATTTTACTATTACCTAATGGGGTTCATACATTTTAAATGTTTTCAAGGCACTTCAGGTTTTGAAAGGGAAAGTTCAGATTCTGAACTTTGGACAAATTTGAACTTATTCTCCTATGGAGAATAAAACTGGATATTCCCTAGTGTAATTCATTTCTATAAGTAAATGACTACGGGTATAAGAATGGACAAAATTTATGTTCCACTTTGGACAAGCCATGCCGTGGCTAAGAGCATTTGTAATCACAGGTTTTAGATGCCTGTTTAAATGTGTTTGCACACAGACATCATATTTGGGCGCTGGATGTGTTTGATGCACTTGGCCATGAGCTACTAGTTTGCAGCCCCTGCTTCTAGCCCAGCTGGTTTTGTGTGCATTTTTAACAGCCTTGTGCCTCTGTCTAATCCTCACAAATTGTTGCAGTTTTTCCTTAGCTCCCTCTGTCCCTGGGCTGCTTCTTATTAGAAATATGTGAAGGGCTTTGAACATGGAGGGTGCATACTTAAGACTGATCTGTGGGTGGGGGATTACTTTGACTCAGGACCCTTGTGTCCCTGTGCTGAGTACATGCGGGTTGACATGCGATGGCCTGTCTCCCTTCAAACAGAAAAGAGGAAGAAGTAATCACATTTTCAACTGAGGGGATCTTAAAGCTCATTGTATCAGCAGCTCAGTTGACAGAGGGGAAAACATGCCCAGTGGGTTGAGCCGCCCAAAGCGCTAGACTTTCTCCCCTTCCTCCCTCCTAATTGAGTGCAGCATAGATCACATGAAATAGTTATTGTGAATTCAATTTTGTGTTTGCTTAAAGATTTTATTTACTTATTTTTTAGAGAAGGGGAAGGGAGGGAGGAAGAGGGAGAGAAATATCAGTGTGTAGTTTCGTCTCGAGCGCCCCCTACTGGGTACCTGGCCTACAACCCAGGCATGTGCCCCGACTAGGAATTGAACCATTGACCCTTTGGTTCACAGACCTTCGCCCAATCCACTGAGCCACACCAGCCAGGGCCAATTTTGTATTTCTAGTTCTTGTTGCAGAGCTATTGTTCTTCATGTTAGACTTCTTGAGTTACCAATTTCAGAAATTTCAGTCTATGAAAATAAAATTCATTTACGACCAACAAGACCTGAACAAATCATCGTTAACGTGTGTGTTTTTCCCACCAGTGGTGGGCTGTGTGAGGGAGTATGGAATAGCTGCTGCTCTCTCCTCCGTGGAAGTAACCATCTCTCTTGGCACCCCTGATTTGTGTGTGAGGGTGACGGCAACATTATTACTTGTTATTGAGGCCTGTTTGGATGTCTTCTTCACAGGTTCCTTGTAATGGTTTCAGTGACATCGAGACTCTCGAGGGCCCAGAGATATTTTTCGAGGACGAACTGGTGTGTATCCTGAACATGGAAGGAAGGTAAGCCGTGGTCTCAGCAGGGTTGTTTTTTTCTGTGTGTGTGTGTGTGTGTTTGTTTGTTTGTTTGTTTGTTTTCACAATAACCTCAGGATTAGCTACTGCAGTTTGTGTGTGGCCAAACCTTGGGCCGCGTGTTTACAACCATCTCATGTGTTGCTAGAGTTACATTTTTGAGAAATTCTGTGTAAGGTAAGTGCACCGAGGCAATTGATGTTCAAAGAAGCCATGCAAGCTTTCGGAAGGGAGGGGTCAGTACGTATTTGGTCCTGCCGTGCTGCGGGCACTTGTGCCTGTTACGTCACTGAGGTCCTATAAATTCCTTTCCTCTGGTACCGCCTGTCTTTCCACCGCCGCCACATTTGTTTGCCCGTCGTGCACTAAATCACGTCTGTTAATCCCTCAGGCATGTCTTTAATGGGTGATGTTTTACAATTTTTGAATTCCGGGAAGAAGTGATCTCACTTTGGCCATGAGCACTGTAGGTATTTGGTCCAACCTTTCTTGTATCTCTCCTGATCAAGAAGAATCCATTATCTCTTGGTTGTTGCTTAAAACCTTTTCGTGACTCATTTTCTGCTCTGAGGGTTGATTGCCAGTTTGCCTGAAAGGTGACTTGACTTCCAGCGTCACTTAACCTGTGAAGAAGATTTGGTGCTCTAAAAGCTCTGGAAACTTTACTGGTGACGGAAGATAGGAAAGCTAGTTTAGCATCTCCCTCCAGGGAGATTGTTGTGCAGTGCCCCAGAAACAGGGCCTTAAGATGTTCTTCTCGTTGTTAAAGGGGGCTTAGGAGAGAGAGGTGTTCGTCAGTGGTACAGCTGTAGGGGGAGGTAAGACGTGTCTCTGTTCTGGGCCTCGGATAAGCTCGGAACCAGAGGTCATTTTTCACTTCTGTCTTGGTTTATCTATAAATGAATTGAAGTGTGATCTAAGAGTCAGTATTGTGCAGCTTTACAGACAAGAGCTGGGCTGTCTTTTTTACATGTATACACACATACACTTCCACCCAGACGAATGTAGTATCACACATACTGAGTTTACGGTTTCGATGTGATCTTCAGTTTTTGTCTGACTCTCCCGTCCTCCCTACCCCATAGGTACTGGCCCTCCCCGCCCCCCCCCCCCCCCCCCCCCCGTGATTCGTGACAGTGCACCAAGCTGTGTTTCTCTGTGCTCGTGTGCACTGGTGGACAGACATCTGTGGGGCCCGAGGGGGGTTGTTACTTCACAAGACCACGACCGTCAGTAGGTACTTCTCCTGCACCTTTTTTGTCATTCAGCGGTCCCTTACTGAAATGGGTCCCGATCAGCTGGTAGAAAATCCAGTTTATTCTTGTAATGTCTGCATACCATTTTGCAGTGTTTGCCACAGTGTATTTGACCGTCCCCCGGTCTCTGGGTCACCACTTCCATCTCCATTTCTGTGTTACTGTGGCCGGGGACGTTCCAGGGGTCTCATTCGTCAACAGAACATTCCTGGGAAGGACGTTCTAGGTCAGACGACGGGATGTTAGTGGAAAACATGGATAAGACCAAGCCATTGAGTGAGAAGACACCCTCACAGAAAATGTCAGTTCTTCCCAAATTAATGCGTAAACCTATTGCCATTTCACTTAGGATCCAACAGGCGTTTTGGGAGGGGAGAGTTTGTGTGTGTGGGGGGGGGTGTTTTAATTGGATAATACTATCACAGAAGAATACATTCACAGGAAGAACCAGGAAAGAGCAGTTTTTAAGTAATCACAGTGGGAAGTTTTCATCAGTAGGTGTTAGGACGTGTTATAAAGCTGGCTGATGAAGGCGGCACAGTCAGCCACGCCCACGCAAAGGGCGATTTAGAAACATGTCCCGGCGTAAAGGACAGTGTATTTTAAACTCAGAGGGAAAAGATGGGCCAATGAATGAATTCCATTAGACATAACTGATTATCCGTCTGAAAGAAAGTAGAGCTTGCATCATAACACAAAAACTAAATTTCGTCATTAAACAACCTAAATTTCATCACAATGAAAATTCTTTGAGAAAAATAGGAGATTTTGTGTACTACCAAGGGAGACCTCCTTAACCAAGACTGATAATGCAGAAGCAATAAAAGAGTATGGACAGAGAGTTATGTAATTAAAAAAAACAACAACAACAAGCTTCTGTATGTCCCAAGAAACCAGAAAGTCAGTAGTCTTAAAATTTCCAAGAAGAAGTTGGGAAATAGACAGGAGGGTGACCTTCACCGAGGGGCACATCCAAGTGGTCGGCATCACGGAAACAGACCTTTAGATTCACCCTTCAGAGAAATGTCAAAGAATTGTGAAATGTTGCTTCTTTACTTACCCAAAGTAAGTTAAAACTGGCCAGAAAAAGGCTGGGTATGCACAGCCAGTAAAAACATACATTATTTTACTCTTTTTAGAAATAAATGTCATAGATTTGTTACCCCTTGCCCTGGCATATGCATTTCGAGCTTAAAGCAGGGTTGTTTTTATTTTTATTCATTTATTTATTTATTTAAAGATTTAATTTATCTTTAGAAGAGAAGGGAAGGAGAGAGGGAGAGAAATATCAATGTGTGGTTGCTTCTGGTGCACCCCCTGCTGGGAACTGGCCTGCAGCCCACAAATGTGCCCTGACTGGGAATCGAATCGCAATCGTCTGGTTCGCAGGCCCGTGCTCAATCCACTGAGCTACACCAGCCAGGGCTAAAGCAGGGTTGTTTTTAGATGACAAGGTACTGTCACGTAGTCACGTTTATAAACACTGGGGGACACTGCTTTTTGTGAAGGACCCTATTGGCATTTATTCCTGGCAGATCCTCGTTGTTTGTATATGGAAAACAGAGGAAGAAGGATAGTTCATGGAAATGCCGAAGCACCGGTCCTTGGGTATTTGGAAACACGTTTCATTTTTGGGTTCTGTGTGTTCTTTAGAAAGAATACATCCTGCAATAAAGATTTAAACAACAAATCAAAAGGATACCCAGTACCAGAAAAAATGGGCCCAAATGACCAACAGTGAGACATCGTCCAGTAAAACTACCAGATTACTGGACATTAAAGATGGAAAAGTCCTTTGGGCATGCAACGGGCGAAGAAGGAGAAGTCACGGAGACGGAAAAGAGAATCGGCGTGTCCTCGGACTTCTCGGCAGCCGTGCTCAGGGCCAGAGGGGAAAGGGAAGCACACTCGGTGCACTCAGGGATTTTCATGTCCCGCCAAACTGACTTCCAGGTAGAAAGGCCGTAGACAAACTGACCAACTTGTAGGAACTTGGGAACTTCTGAGCCCTTCCTGAGAAATGTGCTAGAAAATGAACTTTAAACAACCAATAATCAGAGAGACGTTGACATGAGAACTAGTGGGGAACATTAAATATGTACTTACTTGTAGAACTAAATCCAAATGACAGTGAGGAGGGAAATCCATGTCGTGTGTGGTGGCCCTAAACCTTAACCATGTGGATAAAACACAGCTGTTAAAAAAAACCGAGGCCAGAACAGGGGCAAACAGAAGCAGAATGTTCCACTGTTTTTCAGCAGTCATCGAGGTGGTGAGAATGCTGATGTTATTCTGAAGCTGGTGTGAGTGTGTGTGTGTGTGAGAGAGAGACAGAGAGAGAGACGTGAAATAAAGCAAATAGGTACCTTTGACCCTTGAACGACCCAGGCTTGGCCTCTGCAGGCCCGCTGACACGCAGGTTCTTCCCAGTTGACCTCAGCTCAGTTTCCTGCACAGTTCGCACCATGTTTCTCAAGGGTCAGCTCGCAGTTGGAGGCTGTGTATTCAGAGGGCCAGCCTCAGGTCTGCTTGGGGTTTTGGCTTCTTAGGCCATTCGTGCCCTTTACCCTTGTGTTGTACAAGGGACTGACGTGGCTGGAGAAGCAGGTTTCTTTGCGAGGAAAAGAGATGAAGCTGTAAAGTGGAAGGAGGTGAAAACCGTGTAGTTGAATTAGAAGTTGGAGTGTAAACACACGAGGCACTGCACATTCACATACATGTAGGGGTGTGTGTGTGTGTTCTGTGCACACATACAGGTGCTGTGCTTTTCCTGTTCACTGAAAAGGTCTAAAACAAGGACACAGCCGGGTAGAAATGATCATCTCCAGCGCCCAGAGGGTGTGGAGCAATGGCTGGTTGTAGGTCTGATACAGGAAATGTCAAAGCCCAGACCCAGGCGGCAAGGGAAGTACTACGCTGCACGGCCGAGCAGTTGGGGGGGCGTCAGTGCGGGTGGTAACCAGGATGGGTCAAAATGCGCCACCCGAGTCAGTCCCCTGAGTTCACAGCACTCAACAGATTACTCCAACGTCCCCTTTGGAGGGCCATAAGAACCCCGAATTTTAGTTTAAAAGGTATTTATCTTGCCTTTACATTAAATTATGTGATTGGAGGACCAAATAGTAGTTAAAGGGGAATTAATCTCTAGGGAAAGGATGTTCTGGTCAAGGAACCGAGAGTGGGGAGGCCTCAGCAGGGACTGGGGGGGGGGGGTGACTGAGGCCAGAGGGGCATTGGGGCAAGAGTTAGAAGGCCCCTGTATGTTGTCATTGAGCTCTTACTTGGAGCAAAGTGGAGAACCTGGCAGGACTTGGGGTTCAGGGTGTTGTGCTGCAGCTTAGCTGGTTAACCAGAGTGCCTGCTGCTGTATGGAGCACAGACCGAGGGCCGAGGTTTGCAGGTGGAGCTTGGGGAGGACGGTGCCACTCGAACACAGGTGGAGGCGAGGCGGCAGCTCACGTGAGTGAGGGAGCAGGGCTCCCGTTCCTGATGGGACTGACGGCACAGCGGGCGCTGAATGTGACTGTGGGAGAGGCCAGGAGTCAGGGGCGATTCCAAGGTTTGGGGCCCGACCTGAGTGATGGAGTTGCCTTTGTGGGAGACGAGGGTGACTCTGGGAGAAGAAGACCATTAAGGGCCCACCAGATCCCCAAGCGGGGCTGTGGTGTAGCAGTCGGAGATACGGGTCTGGAGAGATGGGGAGAAACCCCATCCGGAAAGTGGAGTGGGGTTGTCGTGTGGTAATACGTGAAACCACGAGACTCGGCGAGATCGCCCCGGACTGGGGCGCAGGAGGAACGTCTTGGGGAACTGGGGGTGGGCAGCAGGGGATTCCCAACACCTCACCCCTCTCTCCTTAGGCCCACCCAGTTCTCCTAACTTTCCAGGTTTCTCTTTCATTTCCTCTTAGTAATCTGAAGCCAAACAACTGTTTCTGGAATTACGTTACAAGTGCAAAGCCCTAAATTGTGATGTCCGCTTCCATAGTAGTGAGCACTGTGTGATCATGACCATGTGCAAAGTCCACTTCTGTAGCAGTGAGCACTGCGTGATCGTGACCCAGTCGCAGCTGTCTTGTTAAGTAGACTCTTTATGTGGGATGATGAGGTTAAGTAAGGAATAAATCACTGGAAGTTTCAGTATCTTAATTCTTACCAACGTATTGATTATTTTTCATTCCAGGAAAGCTTTGACCTGGAAGTACTATGCAAAAAAAATCCTTTACTACCTGCGGCAACAGAAAATCTTAAACAATCTCAAGACATTTCTCCAGCACTCGGATGACTATGAATCGTATCTCGAAGGTGAGTCTTGGGCAGTGGCAATTCCAGTGCATGGAAACCGCCCTTGACGGTCACGCAGGGGAATGGTCAGCTCTGCTCTTTGGGCTTCCAGAGGTTGGCATACACAGTCTGGTCACTTCGGTGAGTGAGAGCTGAAATGTCAAGGCCTGTAGCTGTCAGCCAAAGAGACCGTTTTCTCAAGATGCACCATTGGTTTAAAGCATGAGAGGCTGGTATTTTAGCTCATGAGAGTCATTTCCCGTTTTGCTGAGCTTTGAAGCGTTGCTTCCAAATGAGAAATCAGGTTGTGCACCTGGGTCTCCGTGTGACCTGGAGCAGGTCCCCTAGCCTCTGGTTGGAGTGTAATGAGGATGCACTGTCCCTGCGTGGGCGCAGGGAGTCCGCCTGGCCCTGACGAGAGGTGAGGAGAAGGAAGTCGAGTGGATAGGACCCGGGACGGCAGCGACTTTCTGCTCCTACCCACCGGCACAAGAACATAATGTGACTTTATTTCTTTTCCAAACGATTTTAAATTCCTAGCATATTCCAGACACACCCAGAAGCAGTGGTTATGAAATACATACATCCCCTCTTGCCAGAGTTTCTTCCGGTTCAGTTTCCCGCTCCGCGGCCCTCGCGGCCCGTCTGCAGGCCCCCGCGGCCCCAGGCAGGCCCTCGGTTCTCTCCCCGCAGCGGCGTTCTGAGCGTCACTCCTCTGCCCTCGGGTCCACAACGTTCCCGTGCCGTGCACTCGGAGCCGGCCCTTTCCCCACTGCTGGCCGCGTGAGCCGGTGGGTGGCCAGCCTGTGTCCTGCTTTGTACTCCGTCTCTGCCTGCCCTCAGTGCCCTCTGTCGGGAGGCCTTCACCCTGTGCCACACTCTTGGGCTCCAGCCTGTACCCCACAAACACACCTCACTCACACCCTCATGAGGTGCCCCCCGTCCTTCGCATTCTCTCTCAAATCCCTCTCACCCTGCAAACGTTCAGCTCAGGTCTCAGTCCCATCGAGTTTCTTGGGCTCAACCACGCAGACCTGACTTGCCCCCCAGTCCCACGGCACTGTCTCCGTCCCTGGTGTGCAGGCTGTCCTCCAGGTCGTCACTGCGGGGGTCGCTGATCTCCCTGTGTCCTTGTCCTCCGCTGCGATCGCTGTCTGCTCTGCAGTGCCCAGTGCAGACCCTCGGCTGCATGAACGTCTTAGATCGTCCGAGTCGGAACAAAACATCCTCGGCACTGGGGTCTTCTTGGGGGCGTCCTGGGACGGAGAGTCGTCCCGTCTTATTTATTCCCCAGTCAAGAATAACTTGACAAGCTTTATTGTTCCGTAGCTCACCTGATACTGATTCCTTGTTTTTCTTCTCTGAGTTACAAAGTAACATTGTGGTTTTCAAGTCACCGGTCCAAATCGGGGCTGTAGGCCTTCTGCAGCCCTTGGAGTTTTTAGATAGTTGAGGGAATGGAAGCGGGCTCCTGGGTCGGGCCCTCGGACTGGCCAGGGAACCTGCCGCCGCTGATGCTGTTGGGGTGGTGGCATTAGGATGGAACGGCGCTGAGGAGCCACAGAAGTTCCTTCCACACGCAGGTGGAGACCCCTGGTCCCAGGAAGGCCCAGGAGCCAAACCCCGGCGAGGGGCAAAACTGGGCCTGGGGTTCGGGTCTCTTGGCGCCCGTTCACCAGCTTTCAGCTCCTGAGGTGTGAGTGGGGGTCACGATTCTGAGCTGGTTTGAGTCCACTTGAATTTGAAACAGCTCTCAGGCTTCCCAGCTCAAAATGTCTTACAGCCAGGTGGTCAAGGTAGTCTGTTGGTCTGTGCTCCAAGCGGAGGCCGTGGGAGAGGGATTTTTGAGAGACGGTGTCTGCAGTGCACTTTGCCAGCTCCCCTCAGCGGCAGAGTCCCTGAGTGTAGCTGCTCGGCCAGTCTGCAAGGACCGTGGTCTCCGAGTCTGTTCGGGGCCTCACCTTTGAAAGGCACAGTTTGCTGAAACAGCCTGTCTGTTGTTGAGAGCCTCAGCTTTTTTTTTTTTTTTTAAGTTAAAGAACTGCCCTACAGTCTTAGGTTTTCAGAGTTGTTGGGTTTTAAATGTAAGGGAGTTAGAGGGAGGAGTAGCCGGGAAGACCCGCTTCATGGCACTTATTTCTCTTCATAACGGAATATGAAACGTGCCGTTCATCACCCAGTTTTTCCAGTCCGCGACCCCTGTGAGGAGCCTGGTCTATCTCAGGGAAAGGCGTAGTGACGGGGAAGCTCCTTTGTTCTGAGAGCGCTTCTCGCTCCTTCTCAGTGCCCTAGCGGCCGGCCCTGACACCAAGACCCAGAGCTTGTCTGGTGGGGTGTTTCAAGGGGCTCCGGCCCCGGGCACCTGGGGCGAGTAAAGACGAAGAAGGGTGACCACAGGTTTGTTCGCGGTTCCTGTGTGTGTTCAGGCGCCGTGTTCATCGACCAGTACTGCAACCCCCTGGCTGAGATCACCCTCAAGGACACCCAGGCCCAGTTCGACAGCATCGTGGAGCTCGTGCGCAAAGCCCTCCGAGGCCTCAACAGCCGCCACCCCAGCCTGACCTTCAGGGCAGGTACGGATCTGCTTCGGCCCCGCTCTGTGTGCACGGGACACCTGGCGTAGTTGGTCACTTGGACATTCTGCATGTGTCCCCATTGTGTCACAAAGATGTTCATGACACAGCCACATGTTTGCCTGGGTTACGTAAAAGACTGCACACGGGGGATGGGTGACACCCAGCCCCCAACGGGATGTCGTCAGGGCGTGGCCGGCGTCTGTGTGGTGCGGTTATTGGGGACACTAGTCCCAGTGTTGGTGTGCGTGTGTCTTCAGAGTAGGTCTCTGTGTTTCAGGGCGGTCCTCCATGGTGAGAGAGCTCGACCTCCAGGGCCAGGTGCTGGAGGCCATGAACTATGTCCTCTACGACCAACTGAAGTTCAAGGGGAACCGAATGGACTACTACAATGCCCTGAACTTATACATGCACCAGGTAAATGTGGGTCTATTAATGGGTCGCAGTTCAGCTTATCCCTTGATCCATTTGCTGTTTCTGAGGGCAGGTACTATATCTCTTCCATCGCTCTGTGCTCATAAAATGCTCATAAAACTCATCTTCGCTTCTCCTGCGAGGATGTCACTGCTGAGTTTCTGTTTCATCACGAAGTGTCCTCTGTCTGAAAACCTGTGGAGTGACTTCCGACGAGAAGGGGGAGTTTCTGTGACCCGGCTCAGTCGGTCGAGTCCTAGGAACACTGGGCTGCAAAGCGAGTCCAGTCTCTGCGCTGGCCTGCGGGGAGGCCGGGGGACCTCTGCGGGAAGCTCCGTCACTGGTGTTTATTTTTATTTGCGTCCTTCTTGGCTCCTTTTTCACATCAGTCGTTTGCTGCCTATTGCCACTTGTATTTTCTTTTTCCACGTCTTACACACTTTCCTGGATGCGGCCTTGCACTCCGTCTGGAAGAAGGAGGCCGTGAGTCTTGGCCTGCGGAGGGCCAGACGGGACTGTCTCGGCCTCAGGCCCTGCGCCCCGTCCTCGCTGCTCTGTTCTGCCGTCGTAGCTGGGGACCGGGCACCGACACACACAATGGTGGCCGTGGCTGCTGCCTGTGGGACTGTATGTGTGGACGTGGACACTCGAATTCCATGTCATTTCATGGGTCATGAAGTCGTTTTTTTAAAATTGAAAAATGCTAAAACTCTCCTTACACAGGTGTTGGAGAACAGGTGATGGGCCAGACTTGGCCCAGGGACTGTGGTTTGCAGACCCCTGGTCTCAATAAATGAACGTGTGCTCCAGCTGTTGTGGCTCCACCAGATCGTCGTCCTGTAAACCAAAGGGTTGCTGGTTCAATGCCTGGTCAGGGCCCATGCCCGGGTTGCATGTTCGTTCCCCAGTCCAGGTGCATATAGGAGGCAGCAGATCCCTCTCTAAAAATCAGTGAACTTGTCTTTGAATGAGAATTTCAAAGAGAAGTTAAAAGGAATTTAATAAGGAAATAAGTGAGCCCTGGCTGGTGTAGCTCAGTGGATTGAGCACAGGCCTGTGAACCAAAGGATTACGGTTCGATTCCCAGTCAGGGCACATGCCTGGGTTGCAGGCCAGTTCCCAGCAGGGAATACATGAGAGGCAATCGTTTGATATTTTTCCCCCTCTCTCCTTCTCTTCCAAAAAAATAAATGAGTAAAATCTTAAAAAAAAAAATAGAGAAGTTAAAGTATTCCTCCACTTCAACCTCAGAACGTAGCCTCATGCCTGGTATACAGTAGGTGCCTAACACAAACGTGTGTCAAAGGGATGAGACCACATGGGTCACTTGTAGTAAGCTAACACGCGTTTTCTCCCACAGGTTCTGACCCGCAGAACCGGGATCCCCATCAGCATGTCCCTGGTGTACATGACCATTGCCCGGCAGCTGGGGGTCCCTCTGGAACCTGTCAACTTCCCAAGTCACTTCTTGCTGAGATGGTGCCAAAGCACAGACAGGTGAGCCGCCCGCTACCCACTGTGATGGGCCCTGAGAACCCAGTCCTGCCGCGTGGCCGGGAGAGGCAACTGGGCAGAGGTCAGGAGAGGGCCAGGGTGCTGATGGGCTGGTTCCGCTTCCTGACCGTGTCCACATCAATCATCTGCTGTGCTCGAGGGGCGCGCTTCCGGTCTTTTCCCTTGTGGCCGCATGTGAATACACAATTATCTCAAAGTGCGAAGTTTCATTTTAAACAGGGCTAGGGGTTCCAGGGCTTATGTCAGTCTCAAAGTCTTTTTTCCCAAGCAGAGCAGATCAAAGAGTTCTCGAAGGAGCTCTCACTTTCCAGTGTTCTGTGAAGCCTCCCCTCCCTGCCCTGCACAGGAGAGGGCGGAGCCCAGGTCAGCCAGGCGCGGAGCCCAGCAGACCCTCGTGTTCCCATCCCGGCCTCTCAGGCGAGGTCGGTGCCTGGAGGGCAGCGCGTGGGCCGGCCCAGTGAGCGTCCATCCTCTTTTGGTCCCAGCCTTCTGCTGGGCGTGGCGCTGCTTTTCACGGGTGGCCTGACTCTTCTGCAAGAAGCAGTTCACAGTCGGGTAGACTGTCTTCTCATTGAATGTGTCCCGTAGAGGGAGAAGCAGCAAAGTTACCTGGTTACATCCTGTTCTTGGCAGCTACTTCTGATGACCAGCTGTGATGGCTTTAATAGGAAGTACCTGAGGTTTGAAGGTGGGCCGGGTTCCGACCTTGGCTTCCTCTGAGCCTAGGTTTCTTCTTCTGTACGATGGGACTAAAATTTTTCGTACAGTGGCTTGGAGGATTTAATGAGATGACCCAGTGCTTTTCACACTGAGTAGACACTAGTTTCCGACTCATACAGAGAAAGTAAGTATAACCAGTCTCTGTATTTCTACCTCCTACTTTAAGAAATGAAACATAGTCCTGACTGGTGTAGCTCAGTGGATTGAGTGTGGGCTGCGAACCAGAGGGTGGCTGGTTTGATTCTCAGTCAGGTCTCATGCCTGGGTTGTGGGCCAGGTCCCCAGTAGGGGGTGCGTGAGAGGCAACCAACCACACGTTGACATTTCTCTCCTTGTCTTTCTCCCTTCCCCTCTCTAAAATAAATAAATAAAATCTTTAGGAAAAAAAAAAGAAGTAAAACACATATATAGTTGAAGCTTCCTGGGTATTCTTTCTTATCCCTTCGTCCCTCCTCTCCAGAGGTAACCACCAGGTAGTTTGAAATTACCTGTAATTTTCATGCAAATTTTTACATATGTATTTTTCCTTAAATAATATGTATAGGCTTCTCTTTTTTCTAAATATAATCTGTTCCTTAAAAATGTATTTGGAGGTTTCTTTTTTGGACAGCAGGCACCCATTTTTCATTATTTTAAATGGGAAAAATGATTTTTCCATCCTATTTCCACTCCCTGAACAATCCAACCAATTTCTCCAGTTATCTCTACAATAGTCTTAAATGCCTATGTAATAGCCCACCGAGGACTGCTGCAAAGCATCTGAGACACCAGTTACCAGATGACTTACCACAGTAGCTTATTAGGTGGCAGCAGCGTTATTTGCCTCCTCAGGCTGCAGTGAGCAGTGCACATGAGCAGTGAAATCCTTCCTTAGCACCCTGGGTCCCTGGCCAAAACAAGCGTCAAGACCCATCAAGGACGGGACTGGCCTCCCCCCACCCCAAGTCTAGTCGGAGGGAGGGGCCGCGGCCCTGCCTCTAAGAGCGCCCTCCTTGCTCACCCGCACTTGCACCGGGGCCCTGCTGTTTATTCGCCGCACCTTCATCCTCGGTCTCAGTGACCGGCGGCCAGGTTCTTCCCGTTGCCACGGCTGTTCTTAGTGCCTTTGGCTCCACTGTGGATTCAGAGTGGGTTCGTCGGGTGTTTCGGGCCCCCAAGGGGACGTTGGTGGGGGACTCCGGTGCTCACTCGGACGGGTTTGTCCATCCGCACGAGGGATGTTGCCTCGTTGCCAGAGTTTCACTCCCAGTCTGTCTGTCTGGGGACGTGTCTCCCCCACACTCAAGTCATCTTTAAGGTCCTTGCAGAGGTTTTTCATTTTCCTCATCGAGCCCTTTGACTTCCTGTTAGAATTATTCCTGGTACCTTAACATTTTGCTGCTATTGTCAGTGGGTGGGGTGGGGGGAAGTGGTGGCGGGAAAATAGAGACAGCTGTCCTTGAACAACGATGAAAAGAAAATTTTTGTTGCTATTATAAGTGGTTTTCAAAATTACATTTTCTAGATAGTGACATTGTACAGGGATATGGATGCTGCTTGGGTACCAGGCTGGTGGGCAGCGCCCTTTCTGAGTAACTGGTGGCTATAGTGACATTGTACAGGGATATGGGTGCTGCTTGGGTACAGGGCTGGTGGGCAGCGCCCTTTCTGAGTAACTGGTGGGGGCTAACAACTCGTCAGCTCTTGGCTTCTCCAGTCGTAGTGTCTGACTGGTGACTGACCGGTGACGGGCCGTTTGTTCTTTTCTTTCTCCCCTGACGTGTTTTGTTTCTTTTGCGTACCGTATTCAGCTGGCTGGCCCTCTGAAATTGAGGCGAATAGAAACAATCAGTGATAGCCTGCCCCTTCGCCTTGAATATGACTCCAAATGGAATCCTTTTAAAATTCCACCTCAGGCCACGATTGTTTGGGGACAGTAACTGTCACCGGGATTTATCAAAGCTGTCCTCCAAATTCCTGTTTTGCTAAGAGTGTTATTAACTAGGCTGTAGATCTTTTCCCTAAAATCTTTGTATCTACTGATAGGATCACGTAAGGTTTTTTTGTTTCTCTTTTTTCAGTCTGTGCTTGAAGTAGACCTTTTAGTGTTCAGCTCTTTTCATTCTTAGGGTGCATCTAACTTAATCACATGGGGTCTTTTAAATGCATCGCTGCATTGGGTTTGATCAGATTTTTCCCCATAAATTTGTGCGTGTGTGTGGTTCTCCGAGACTCGTAAAACAAGTTGGAGTGTTCCCGGTTTCTGGGGCATTAACGGGTGTCTTACTGAGGAGAGCTGTTACTGTGACTCAAGGAGGAAGTCTGAAGCCATTGCTCCAGGAAAAAGCACAACTCTTCCGGAGACGGAGACCCACCCGAAAGTCTCGGGAGCCCTCACAGAGCACACTTGGCAGTGCCCGCCACCGCCGTCTGCTTGGTGCTGGCCACCACCACCTACGAGAGCACAGTTCATGGAGAGCAGCCCCACAGGACGGGCAGTGGGCTGGAGTCCAGGGACACAGCTCTCTGTACCCAAGCAGGGGCCCAGCCTGAGTCTGTGGGAGGGCTCAGCAGGTGTGTGACCACCTGTGTGTCTGCAGAACTGGGGGCAGCAGCCTCCTGGCGCGAGGGGCCTGGGGTCCACAGACGTCAGCTACTGCCAGTCTGTGTGCAGCCTCCGCTGCACCCCCGATGGGTGTTCCTGGCAGCAAGCTCCAGGGTGAATCTCCCCGAAAACCTGTGTTAGATGGTATACTTCTACCCTCTTCATCTTAAATATCGGTGCTTAAAGGGACCGATGTTCAGCTTTGAGCAAGGCCTTGTTTTTTTGGGTTTTTTTTAATGGAAATGCTACCATTTTAGCGTTTGGTCTCTGATGTGAGCTGTTTATTTATCAGGAGGGTTAAATACTGACTTGCTCAGCTGGGATCTGAGACTGGGCTAACGGCATGCGTTCCTTGTCTAGGGCCAACCTGGACATCTTTGACTACATCTACATCGACGCTTTCGGGAAGGGCAGGCAGCTGACGGTGAAGGAATGTGAATACCTGATTGGCCAGCACGTGACCCCGGCCCTGTACGGGGTGGTCAACGTGAAGAAGGTGCTGCAGCGAATGGTGGGAAACCTTCTGAGCCTGGGCAAGCGGTAAGATTTCCTAGCTTTCCCGTACTTGGGCGGAGCGCACACCCCGGAAGGCCTGCCCTGCCCTGCCCTGCCCTGGCCTGCAGAGGCGTCTCCAGTGGGCCTCCCTGGGGTGCACCAGGGCAGCGGGGAAGGTGCGGCGCTGATGGGCGATCTGCAGCTGTCACCTCCTGTGGGAGAAACTGGTTCCCATGACAGAATGCTGTCCACATTTAAGACGGGCTCAGTGAGTTTCCTCTGAGGCTGTGCAGGGGCTCAGGCAGGCTCTCTGTGAATACCGACAGCGTCCCTGTGTCACGAGAGTATCTCAGGCTGGCACAGGTTCTTTTTAGGGGCAGGGTGTTCTCATGTCCAAGTGCTTTGTCACCTTTTAGTTTGTGCCTTTCTGTCACTCACATAAGAAAGCAGAAATGTGACACTGTCTTGCTTTTGAGTCAAAGGAAATTTGGCTTACAGAGTGAAAAGGAAGTTGTAGATTATGGCAGTGGTTTTCTGCCTAGTGGCAGGATTTTTTTCTTAGTAGACTTTATTTTTAGAGCAGTTTTAGGTTTACAGCAAAACTGAGCAGAAAGTACGGAGATTTCCCATAGGCCTCCAACCTCCAGGCGCTCACAGCCTCTCGCAGGGGAGCATCCTGCCCCGAAATGGCCCATTTGTCACGAGTGGTGAACCTGTGTTAATACATCTCAATCACCCCACGTCCTGAGACCCATTCATACACTCAGGTTCACGCATGGTGGTGTGCAGTCCACACATCCTACAGGTTTTAATAAATGTTTGGAGACGTGCGTGTACATCATAGTGTCACACAGAGCAGCTTCTGCCCTGCGAGTCCTGTGCTCCGCCTGTTCAGAATTTAGTTTTAATCATGAACAGGGTTACTGATGTGACCGTGTAATGAAAACACTTACGATTTTAGTTGAGTGCCCATCACTGCAGTGGGAAACATCTCGTGTGTGTGTGTGTTTAGTGAGGATATTATAACTGTTGGCTGAGCAGAGGGGAGGTGCCAGTCAGAGTCAGAAAATGCAGGGAATTTGTGTGGATTGTTTCTGAAACCTGGGCCTTGCCCGAGAAGGGCTCACCCAGGAGCACACAAGATAAGGTGAAGTCTCCTTCCAGCAGGGAAGGTATTGACCAGTCGTACCAGCTCCTGCGAGACTCGCTGGACCTGTATCTGGCGATGTACCCGGACCAGGTACAGCTGCTGCTCCTCCAAGCCAGGCTCTACTTCCACCTGGGAATCTGGCCAGAGAAGGTAATTATTCGCCTTTGATGCTTTGCACTTACCGTAGAGAGGGAATGCGTAGCTTGAAAGGCGGCTCCTACAGGTTTACTTTTCCATTAACGTGGGGAAAACACAAATCTGTTCAAAGTCTCCCAGCCTTGACCAGTTGTTCAAAGATTTGTGTATCTCCTTTCACTCTGATTAAAACAAAAACAAAAACAAAAAAAAACCAAACTGGTTCTATTGCCAGGAGTTGCCCACCCTCTTTGTGGTCAGTGCCTTGGATGTCCAGAACCATGGGGCCTCTGGCCTGCCAGTCACCTCCTGGCGCCCCTAACGAGTGTTAGTATTTCCCCCCCGTCACCCTGACTTAGCAAGGGGAGGCAAAACTCACAGTGCTGAGCCTCCAGCTGTGCCGTTAGTAACTGCACTGACCATGCAGGAGCTCCCCCTTGGACGTCGGACCTAGGGAGGTGGGTCTTAGGCTTGTGGACGTCCAGCTGCCCTAGTCCAGGACCAGCTGTGCTCTGGGAAGCTGTAGGATTGGGCGCTGTTCCGCAAGGCTTTCTGTTTTGTCACGCCCTGTGGCCAGCCGCCAGCAGTCTCAGCAGTCTCAGACTGCAGAGGGGCAGAAGCGCTCCCCAGCAGCTGTGGGTGTGGCCAGGTTCAAGGCCTATGTTGGGTCCCAGAGCTGTAGCAGCTACACGCCCACTCGCACCATGGCCTTGCTGTTCCAGGGGAAACGTTGTAGTGCTCCGTTTTGTGTGTTTAGAACAGTCTGGTGAGAGGACCAAATTCTGAGTGGAGCCAGCCTTTTTTGACCAAGTAAAGCATCTAAAAGACTTTGCATTTTTGAGATTTCAGTTGTGTTGGTTACAACTTAAAAGACCTAAACTAATTTGGAGAAAGGACTCATCAGCAGGAGAATCGCTAGACTCCTCCCTTGAGGAAGGGTGTCATCTGTGGCCCAGGGAGCAAAGAGCACGTGCTGCGACCGGAGAGTTGGGGGGTGACTGGTGACCCTGCCGGCGTCACCACCTGCTCCCAGAGCCTAAGTGAATGCCGTCTTCCAGGCTTTGGTAGCTTATTTTATTTTGTCTCGTATTTATTTTTGACACTAGTATATGCATAATTCCTATCACTGTTTAGGTAAGGAATGGCACGGTATTTATAAAATGCAGATATCCTTTTAAAGCAAGATTCTGGATAAGTAGGTTCCGTACCTCAGTTACCCATCAGCTGTAGAAGGGCCGGGGGGCCTCCTCTTCCGGGGGAGGTCTTCGGGAGCCCTGCCTCTACCCCAGCAACTCACTTAGCGCTCGCCTGCTGCTTCCCAGGGGTCACCTCGGCATCCCCGGGGTGAACAAGGTTGCCTTCCTGTGCGACAGATGCCACTGTATGAAATGAGCTCCAGATATGTCGTTACCCAGGACACTGGTCCTCACGGTGACCGTCATTTGCCGCTGGCATGGGTGCTTCCCCCAGCCAGAGGTCCAGAGGGAAAGGCGGTTCATCCCCAGTGAATTGGGGGCCCCCTTGAAAACCCGAACTCCAGCCGGGGAGCCAACACTGAGACAGTGGAGGAAAACCGTGGGGCTCCCCAGAGGAAGGGTCGGGGTGCTAGGCAGTTAGAAAACGCTCCTCTGCAGAGAGGGTATGAGGTGGCTATGGAACCATTTCAGAGGGCAGCAGAGCCGGCCACTGCAGCGAGCCGGGCCAGAGTGCGCAGGGCACGAAGGCGGAGAGTGCAGTGTGTGCAGACAAGGTGGGCTTCACAGGGGTCCTTACATGGGTGCGTGCGCATGTGTGCGTAGGTGTTGTTATGTGGAAAACATTTTTCAGGACATGAGATCAGCTTGTGGAGGGCTTGGGATCCGCTCGGCCTTATTAGGTAAAAGGGAAACATTCCTAAACTAGGAAGACCAGAAGGGTGACTTGTTTTGGACTTGTTTTCAGTGGAATTCAGCTGGGAAGAGCGACATGCAGGTCCTCCTGGTCACTGTGTTGCAGTCATCGAGGGTGGTCGTGGCTGCAAGGGAAAGGGAGAGCATGGGGCAGCCAGATTTTAAAGCCAAGAACGCTGATGGAACATGTCCTTCCAGCCTGTGGGGTGCATGCTGTTTCAGTGACAAGGATGTCCCCCAGTTTCCCAAGGCAGGCCTGCTACGCTCTGTCCCCAAGTCCCCTGCATTTTCGGGGAGTGCTTGACTTTCCTGTGCTCCATGGTCTCTCCAGCTCCCTGATCCTGCTCTTTACTGTCAGCACTGAACACACCCAGATCCCTTTCTTCGGGGAAAACAGAAAGCCCTGCTGGCACCTCCCCAGGGCCCCTCCTTATCTCTGTCCTCCCCTGCAGGGCCAGAACATGCTCGCGGCCTCCCCGGCCTCCTGCCTCCCACACACTCCCCAGAAGGTGGGGGGGTTTCTGTTCCCACCCCTCCTCCTCCGGAAGGAACTGTGCTTGCCAGGGAAGCCAGTGACCCTTTTTTGCTAAATCTTTCTTTTTGTTGCCAAATCCAACAGATACTTGTTTTCCTTATCTTCAGTGATCGCTGGGGGCCGCCCCCCCACCCTGAAGTACACTCTGTTCCTTCTACTCCAGTTCCTGGTTCTCAGGCCCTTGCTAGTTTCTAGACTTCTTTTCACTCTGCACCTTCCCCCTGGGTCATCTCATCCGTTCTTCTTGCTTCGGCCCCATCTGTAGGCTGACAGCTTCAGGCCTTTGATCTCCCGCCTGGACCCTGGGCTCCGGACCAGCGTGCCCAGATGGTCCCCTCTTCATCTGTGCTGGGCTCTGTCTCCTAGAGGACTGCACTGGCCTCCTGCGTGGTCTCGTTCCTCTACTCTTAGACCCTTGACCCCGTTTTACACGCTGCAGCCAGTGTGGCCTTAATGTCAGCTGTTCCCCTTCACTGCTCAGGGTGCTCTGGGTGGCCCCCGCTGCCACGAAGATCCGGCTCCTCCTCCTGGGTATGGTCTGCTGGGGTCTTGGTGGCCTGGCCGTCCCCGCCAGTGCTCTCATTTCTCATGATGGCCCCTTGCGTACTCTGCTACCATGGCCATGTCCTCTGTTCATCCCTGTTCTTTGCATCAGTCCTTGGAACGCACTGTGCCCCTGCCTGGGACCTTTTTCAGCCTCTCAACTCCAGTCGCCAGCTCACTTCTGCCTCTGAAACCCCTTCCCGAGCCCTTTGCATGGGGCCGGCCCCACTGCCCTCCCACAGAGCTGCCGTGAACGTGCTGCAGCTGCTCCGCGAGGGGCTGCCTGCTGCTTCCTGCAGCCGTCCCCCCTGCTCTCCGCTCGGTTCCCGCCACGCAGCAGTGCTCAGGAGTTTTTATTGGAGCGAGTAAGGAACGCCTGGTCTTCGTTAGCTGTAAGGAAGGAGAGGGTTCAGAGAGGGTGTCCCGATTTCCCAACAAGGGTTTGGCCACGGGAAAGGTGGGCATTGGAAGAGCAGACCTGTTTCGGGCTGGGGCGGGTGTTCAGGTGGGGGTGTTTGGGTGCGATGGGCCCGGAGCCATGTGCCGCTGTCCTAGAGCGTGTAGGGCTGCAGCAGCGGGGTCTGGTGTCGGAAGCCGTGAAAGTGAAAGAGCCCACAGACAGTGGGCTTCGGAGGGCGGGGCCCAGGGCTTCAGAGAGACCCTGCGGAACCTGCAATGGGGGGCCCAGCAAACTGTGGCCTGGTGGCCCGAAGCAGCCTGGTTTATGAATATGAATTTGTTTGCACACAGCCACGCCCATTTGCCCACTTGCCTCTGGCTGCCTTCCAGCCACAGCAGCCGGAGAGAGTCATGGAGTCAGAAACCAAAGGGCCCTCAAAGCCTAAAGTGTTTACTCTCTGGGCCTCTACAAAAAGCTCTTGCCAGCCGTGAATGGTAGGCCCCCCCTTTCAGGACCTCTGCCCCACGAGTTGTAGGCTCAGGAACCCGGGTGCCGACACTGGTCTGGACACGGCACGGTGCCCAGCTGTCCTCACTGGCCTTCGGGGACATACGAGGCCCAGACCACCGGATTGTCCCTGTTTCTGCCCTCCCTTCAGCCTGCCACCCACACGGCAAGGGAGGGAGGAGGGGTTGCCTCTGAGCCTCCTCTCCCCCTCTGACGCTCCGAGTAGGAGAATTCCTTTGTGTGCCGAGAACTCCAAGTTAGGCCTGTTCCCTGCTCTGGTGGGAGGGGCCGCTGGGAGAGGAGGGCAGCTGCGTCTAGGAGGCCGCACAAGTCTCGGCAGCAGTAACTGGTGGGAGCTGCAGAGGGGGACGCGAGGGACGCGTTGCGCAAGCCCAGTGAATAGAGGCTTTACTGTTAAATCCTGTGCTGTTTGCTACAGAAGGTAAAGGTTGTTAGTGTCTCCCAAGTTGAAAGTTCTCTCGGCGGGGGGGCGGAGGGGGGCGGGGAGTGGGATTGGCTCTCAGCCGACTGGTTGAAGTGGGTGTGAGGTACAGCAGGTCATACCGTTCTGCCCATTTTTATGTGTTTGACATTTTCAATAATCATCAATTAAAATACCCCTACTCTTGCTTTGGAGTGGTGGTGGTGGGTGGGGGTTCAGAGTTGGCCCAGGTCTCCCCTCACTGCAGGTCCTCGTAGCCCGTGGCCTCGGGTGCCTGCGTGGCCTGCCTTCACCAAGGCCGGCTTCTCTTCTCGCGATGACCACCGCGCACTCTCGGGTCGGGAGGATGAGCTGACTCTGTAAAGTGGCGGGTTTGGTTCAGTGACCAGGGAGAAATAGGTGCTCAGTAAATACTGAGACCCGCTGATCTCAGTCTGGAAGGCAAGGTTGGGTGTTAGAATAGTAGTGTTTTACATTGCACAAGACGGTAATTTTCACAACACTTTGACAGGTTCATAATGTATCAGGAAACGGAGCCTTTATTAATCGTCACTTGAAAAGCGGGTAAACAAGTTCAGAGGTGAAAACCACCAGTTGGACGGGTCTGGAGCTAGGATTTGGGGTTGCTGCGTCTTTGGACTCAGCAGTAGGGGAAGCACCTGCTCACACGGGAGGAACATGCTGGGACCCTCTGCGGGAGGCCGTAACTGTGTGTGTTTGTGTGTGCACTCACCTCATCGGAATCTGTGTTCTCCCTGGAGGCCCCGGGTACTGTAGAAAGAACGCAGCCTCGGGTTCTGCTTCTACCAGCTAGTCATTTGGATCCCGTGTGGGTGTGGTCTTTCCTTGCCCACTTGTATTTGAAGTGCCATTGTGAGTAAAGTAATGGAAATGACGGGGGGGGGGGGGTCCAAACCCTGTTGCCCACACCTCCGTCCTTCAAGTGTAACATCAGAAACGAATGGGGTCAGCATCCTTTCGGGGACTTCCCTGTGGCACTGAGGCAGCTCCGTCCAGCATCCTCCTGATCAAAGCAGCTGAGCATGTATTTTTCCAACCAGTTCCTGAGCGCAGGCAGGTAAAAGTCGTTTTCTCTCTGTGCATAAACAGATTGAAGCCCACACTAACCAAGAGTGTAAGACCCTTTTTGAGTTCCCCCAGCGCAGATTGCCTGCGAGGGGCGGACTCTCTGTACCCATGCCGATGCCAGCCCACCGTGTTGCTAATGCTCCCTCACCGTCACGCAGGTCGGGTGTGGGCGTCCGGGGCTGGTGCCCAGTATTAGAAGTGAGCAGACTGACTAGGGGGGTTCCCATGTGCCTCAGGGACCTAGGCCGAGTCCTCAGGGTCTCGCCTTGCTGCCCCTTGTCAGGCTAGCTTAGGTAGGGCTGTACCCAATGCAGCAAAAAGGAAAAGGCCTTACTAAAAATATTATCACCTAGTCTTTCTGTCTTGTCTTGAAGGTGCTTGACATCCTGCAGCACATTCAGAGCCTGGACCCCGGGCAGCACGGGGCGGTGGGCTACTTGGTGCAGCACACCCTGGAGCACATCGAGCGCAAGAAGGAGGAGGTGGGCGTGGAGGTGAAGCTCCGCTCCCATGAGAAGCACAGGGATGTCTGCTACTCCATTGGGCTCATTATGAAGCACAAGAGGTGAGTGCCCCGCGGCGCCCGCCCACACACGGCTGCAGAGGATGCTGAGGGCTGGGGAGCGGCGGCCGTGACGTGCTGGAAGGGGACCTGGCCACACACAGCAACTGCCTCGGCGCCGCTCAGGAAGGCCGCACACTGAGCCATGTCTTCAGCCTTTCTGGGCTTTGCGGAGGGACTTGCTCTCCTGGCTGCGGGGGGCGGGGGTCCTCTGGTGCTTCAGTGACCTTCAGGTGTCCGACGGGAAGGCGGAAGCGGCCACACATGGAACTGTCCTCTCCTGTCTCCCCATCTTCATCGTTCTTCATCTCTTCTTTTTGTCTTGCTCTCCCTGAATTTAAGTTGTGGGTCGCAGGGTACACTTGTGGCCCAGAATTAAACTGTGTCCAAAGGATGGCTGCATTTATGTCCCACCAGCCGGTGGGAGCCGAGAGTCCCTCCTCCCGCCAAGCGTGTGCCGTGGCCAGGCCTCCGGAAACGTGCTCGTGCGGGAAATGGCGAGTGGCGTTGCACCGCGGCTTTGGTCCGCACTCCCCGATGACTGCACAGGCTGAGGTTCTTTTCACAGGTCTGCGGGCCACTCGAGTTTCCTTTTATTAAGTGTCTAACAAGTGGTTTGTCCTATTTATAGTCATTCTTTTTCTGTATACATACTCTCTGTGTGCACATAAGTTCCAAGTTCCAGGTTTGGGTTCGTGTTTTCATTCGTTTGTTGCATTCTCTTTTTTATTTATTACGGACATTCCAAGCGTCTCAGGGTAAGAGCTGAGGACACTGAACCAGGTGACGTCCCCCCGTCAGCCTCAGTGGCCATCATGATAGGGTCCATCTTCATTGTCCCCTCCCCACCTGCCCTTGCCTTCCTCCTCCCTGGAAGAGAGTCCCCGATGTCATTTCTCCTGTAGCTGTTTCACAGTGTGTCTGTCAAAGGTAAGGGCCCTCTCTTTCGTTAAAAGTCCATTTCCCGTGCCGCTGCCATGTCTACGAAAAAAGAGTGATCCCTTACCAGATAGATAGCTGGGTAGACAGCTGGTCTCTCTGAACCAGGGTCCTTGAATGCCGTCCGCTGGCCAGCGTCTTCCTTTATGGGTCGTACGTTAGCACCTGGAGCAGTCACTGGCCGCCCCGATTCGTGGAGATAGCGCGGGAGTTCTGCGCTTTATGTCTCCACCTCTGACGCACTGAGAGCCGGTGCCGTGGGTCGTCGTCAGGCCTGGGTCCAGACACCGCTCCCGTTTTGATAGCCCATTGTTGTCCCGTCACTCGCTGTCAGAAAGTGGGGCTTTTTCCCCAACCGAAGTGCTGGGTTGATAGGAAGGCGGGGTTATAGAGAGGGGCGGCAGCATCCTGAAAAAGGACTCAACATGGAGTAAAAGCAGGTAGATTTGTAGGAAGAGGAGCTTAAGGAAAGCCAAGCCACTGTCTGTACACTCCACGGTGGCCAGGGCCCCAGGGACCTGATTGGCCGTTGCTCTCGCGTTAAGCAGGTATGGCTACAACTGCGTGATCTACGGTTGGGACCCCACCTGCATGATGGGACACGAGTGGATTCGCAACATGAACGTCCACAGCCTGCCTCACGGCCATCACCAGCCTTTCTACAATGTTCTGGTGGAGGACGGTTCTTGCAGATACGCAGCCCAGGGTAAGTGGCCGGTTCTCGTCGGTACATTTGGCGAAGCCTGGGCATGTTTTACGCGTGCGCTTCAGCTCTTTGAGACTGGGCCTCATCGTCAGTTCACCATAGCTGTCCTCGTGAGGGCCACTATTCAGCCCATAAACACAGGTGGTATGCTGTGGCGTGGCCGTGCCACGGGTTAGATAGTCAGGGTCCCCAAAGTCTCCCCGCCCACCTTCACCACCATAGCCAGGTGGTGTGGTGCTGCTGGTGATCTCTGTTTTGATTGGGCATTGCCTTTGCCAATCAAATCCCTAGTACCTGCTTCCCAGGTACTGCCATTGGCTCCCTCCAGGTGAGGAGGGTGTGCTTGACCTGGAGGCACTGACTAGACATGCTGGGGGAGCTGCCCTGGCGCCCTCTGGCCCCCTGAGACTGGCCGCCTTCCCCGGGAACCGCAGTCCATGGCGTGGGCTCTCCCAGCCCAGCAGCCCAGACGTCTCCCTTTTCTTTCTTCCTCCACTTAATAGGGCGGATGTATTGTGCGCTTATTTTAGTAATAAAATGCAGATGCTGAGACCGCGCTGCTCTCTGCAACAGGCAGAGTTGTAAGGTCCGCTCACTCTTTTGGAAAACATGCACCTTCTCCGTCGCCATCCCTGTGTACTCCGTGAGGAAGCCGAAGCGCACAGAGTCGTTTCAGCTCCAACTCAGAGTGTGAATTTGAGCCCGGCAGCCCGGCGAAGCCTCGTCCACGGCCGTCATGCCTTGTGCCTGTCTGGAAACGCGTGCAACCGAGTCAGAGCTACATTCTGGTAGAGGCATGCATGTGAATATCAGACGTGTAAATGTCTTGAGTCTCACATCCATTGTTAATTCACCAGGAACTGAGACGGTCACGTGCACCGAGAGCAGTTCTGTCTGTTGAGACTGCAGGTCGCACCAGCCTCCGTCAGTGTGATGAGGAGGTTCTAAGGGGGGCTGTCAGTGCCGTGTGTCAGACCAAGGCACTGACAGCGGCTTTATTTAACTTTTCAAGCTGTGATGAGAAGTCATAGTAACAGTTTCTAAAAATGAACATGTATTGAAAGTTATTCAGTGACCTGTGGGCCTTTGCGCCCCTGCTAACCGTGCAGTAAGCATTTCACAGTCACGGAGCCCATCCGGGGGCAAAGGGACCTGTCCCATGACCACGCTGCGGGCCAGCATCTGGCTTCAACTCCTGCACGCATTGCCCTGTTACCTAGGGCAGCTCTCAGGACTTTCGGTATTTGAGATTTGAGTTTCTAGAAACATGTACGTTAACTTTAAAACAGGCTGTTTAGAGGAGGCGAACTGATATTTGACTTTATGTGTCCTGAATTTTTCATTGTCTCAAGAAATCATTTCTGATTGCAGTTTAAGTAAACCGTGTCGAGTTTGGAGTCATAATGCAGTGACTTCCTAGGAAAGTCGGGCACCTGGCTGTCAGTTTCACACCCCTAACTCTGGGGTTAGACTAAGTGGTTGTGGGTAGATTGCCTTTTAAAAGTTTCAATTCCGAGGCTTTGAGGCTTTTAGAAAAGTCTTAACTTCCCAGTCACACCCTACGGCAGCCGTCCACGTCCCCTTTTTTCAGCCGGAGATCCCTGTCAGCCCCTGGGCAGGGTTTCCTGACACCCACCCGTCAGCTGGGTGTCGGCTGTGGGGCCGCAGAGATGGCGGGGAGCTCCATCAGAGGCTCCCTCAGAAGGCCTGGCCTGATATACGGGACCCCTCAGGGATCTGTCACTTCGTGGGGCTACCTGGTCATTCCTTTCCCTCTGTGGCCTTGTTACCTGTTGACACACAAGCCAGCCACCCTCACTTGTGTGTGAGAGCCTTGCTTCCATGCCTGGCTCTTCTTGGGTCCCATGCCCACCTCTCTGAAGCCCCCAGCACCTGTGGTCAGGTCTGCCCAGGGGCTCGATGTTCCCGACTGAGTGTGTGGAGTCAGTGCTCGTCCCGCCCTGGTGGGCTCCTGCTGGTCTCGGTGGCATGTCTGCGCTTGGTTTGAATGACGACCAGCCAGGGCTCACACGCATGTGCCCTGGTTCTGTCTCAAGTCTCTCAGGAAAAGCAGAAACAGAAACAGTTTCTCATTCTTTTTTTTCTCTGTTTTTCTTTTTCACAAGACTTGGGCTTTGGAAGAGGCCAGGCCAGTCACCCCGTAAACTGTCGAGCTTTCTGGCCGAGTCGCACTGTGTGCTTACCTGTGTTGTCTGTAAGCCGGAAGCTCGGTGCGAGGCTTGAGTAGATCGGTTGATGCTTTTGGCCGAAATATTTATTCTCAGATGCCGTGCGTGTCCCGTCGTCTCTCGTCGGGAGACCTGTGCTGCTCCATGTCCCACTGTTAGGGAGGCGGATTCAGGTCACTTGGCCGAGATAGTGACTCACTGTAAGGGCCCGTCTTCCCTTTGCAGTTAATGAGAAACCCATGGAGCCATCCTGCGACATCCCGTGTCTCTCATCCTCCCCAGCAGCCTGTGTCCTTGTGTTTGTGTTCGCACCTGTCGGTCTCCTCACCTGGGTTATCGTGTGCGGATCGCAGCCTGCCGACGCCCCTGCTGTGGCCCCTCTGCTGCTCTGACCCGGGGCCTTCCTCCCCCCGCCCCCCCCAGCACTGCCTCCTCCCTCTTCCTCGCCACCCGCCCTTCCCTCCACTCTAGCTCTCCTTCCCCTCTCCTCCCATGGATTCCTAAATTTTTATTTAGTCAACATGCTACAATCATTTTGAGCTATTTTTTTGTCCAAATTAACCCATATTAGCCAGTGGGAGACCTTGAGAGGCTAAATTTTAAAAACACCTGTTTAATTTTTTTTTTTTTTTTTTACATTTTCGGGTCTGCTTATTTACATTCAGTTATTTTGTTTTACAACTTTTTCTTGACCCAAATTTTCAGACTTTGGCTCCATGGCCCTAGTAACCTGGGCAGTAATGAATGCTCCTCCAGTTATCAGTTCTCCATAGAGTCTGAGTAGATCATGAACCTCATGCACGCACGACGTCTTCGAACCATCTTACTCTGCTCAATCAAAGGGTTTTCCAGACCGCATGCTAGCGGTCACCCTAAATCCCAGGGAGGGATATGCTGCATTGGCCTGTGTGGCATTTCCCCACTAGGGGGCAGGCTGCCCGTCCAGCTCCCCTCCCCAACCTCGATACTGTGGCCTCTTGGTACTACAGCGAAGCAGTGTTTCGGGTGCCATTGGCTGCCCATGTTGGAAGGTCAGGAATCCAACTGTGAGGCGAACGTCTGGTTTTCACACGTGTTTTATGCATGAAGCCCCTCGTAGAATGGCTGGTATATGTGCACCCTCACCCAGCGTTCATTTTGGCTCTGTCACTGGTCTTGCAGCTCCAAACGCAGGCCCACACCACAACCCTGCACACGCATGCTCAGCCACGGCAGTCTGCGCGTGCTAGCTCGTGTGTGAGGTCCCTGCCTTGGGCGGGAGCGTAAGATTTGAACTGTTTGAGAGGGTGGTTTGGCGCTTTTAAATTGTGCAAATCTCAAGCGCCTTTCTCCTTGGCCCCTCCACTAGAGACATGCTTGCCCTCGGGGCCGAAGGTCCCTTGCTGTCACAAAACAGTTTCATTCCTGAGGACTGGTGTGTTGGGGTCTGCCCAGACTTCAGCATACTGAGCTTGAGTTAAGTAATAAACCAGTTGCCGGTGAACACTTGTATGTCTTAGGTGAATAAACAAAACCAAAACAATACCTGGTTTTCTCCAAGTCCAGTGACGTGCAGATCACGTCTGTGTTCGTACAAGGACCAGAGAGACCCACTCACACTGAGAGGGCTTTCCTCCCCCGGGGGAGGGACCAGGACAGCACCACTGCCCCCGGAGAACTCCGGGTAGTGTCTGCATGGTTTTCCAGGAGTATATTCGTGTATTTGGGGGCAGCTTGCAAATTTAAAGTAAAACAAGCAGACACATTTCTCTGAAAAATTCAAAGGAATCAAAAGGACTCCTCAAGGTTTTTCCAGGACGTGTAAGTAGTCCCTGATTAATGTTTTGCTGTTACATTTTGTAACACTTAGCTTTCTCATTCCTCGTCTAGTAAATGTTTCAGAAACCCTGTTTAGCAGAATGGGATTTATTTTCCCCTCGTAATACATAGTTGCCAACCTCACTACCTTGTTTTCTGCTCTAAAAAGTTTTTTTTATTTAAATTAATACCAGTACCGGTTTCCTGTTTGGCTAGGGGCCCAGGTGGGTAGGCACACTGTGCGTACTGAGGTCAGCACGCGTCCCTCTGTAGGAGCCGGGAGCCCTCCGCCCTGCACTTGGTTTCTCCACCTTCTGTCTCCGCTTCTCATGCCTCTTGTTTTGGGCTCATGGTTAGAGTTCTGAGCAGCCACTGCCCACTGCGCTGTCCTCACAGATTTGTGACTGTAGTCTGGCTTCAACCTTCCTGCCCTCCTCCCAGCTCTCAGACACTAAGTATTAGCCAGCACTGAGCTGCTCCTGAATATACACAGAGGAAAGGAAAGAGGGGGAAGAGAAAAGGGGCTCATCTGACCTTCTCAGAACAGGGCTCTCCGCACTTTGCTGGGGCGGAGAATGTGGTCCATGGCGGGGGGCTCACCTTAGTAGGCAAGAAGGATGCAGGTACGAGGCTGGTCATCAGATACTGTGGGGCCTTCAGAAGCTGAACCGCTGGCAAAAACCAGCTGGTTGGGATGCCCTTGTCTGGAGGTCTGTGTTAGATCAAGTTGAGTCTCCGCTGCGCCAGCCCCCCGCTCTGAGGACAGGAAGGTGCTTCTCTTTGGTCCGGAGCTGCTGGGGGCCCTGGCCACCATCTCTCCGCCGCGATTCCTGCTCACCACCTTTTTCCTATTAGCTCTTCCACGTTCCGAAAACATGTCATTCTTTATTTTCCACCTTAAAAATGTTCCTAACCGTTGTTAGGAAGTTCTCTGGATAAAAGATGCTGCAGAAAAGTCCATTTTAATGAGAATGTGCCTCTTTACCAACAGAAAACTTGGAATATAATGTGGAGCCTCAAGAAATCTCGCACCCCGATGTCGGACGCTATTTCTCAGAGTTCACGGGCACTCACTACATCCCAAACGCAGAGCTGGAGCTCCGGTACCCGGAGGATCTGGAGTCTGTGTACGAGACGGTGCAGAATATTTACAGTGCCAAGAAGGAGAACGCAGAGTAAACCTAGTAGAGGACATTGTACCTTTGCTGCTGCTGCTGCTATCTTCCACAAGAACAGGATTCTAGAAGTCTCCACGGATCCCTCTGGATTCATCCCACCAGGAAAGCCACTTAGCCAGGGGTGCCGGGCCCCCCTCAGTTTAGGTAGCCTGTGCTCTCCCCCAGCTGTAAAGGCAATGTCGCTCTCCGCCTGCACTAGTGAGTCCGTTTGAAAGGCCCTGTGTTCAGTGGTATGGCTTGTACGCTTGTCCTGTGGTGACAGTGTGTGACATTCTGTCTTCATGAGGTCTCACAGTCGACACTCTTACAATAATCTCTTTTTTGACTCACTTTTCATTCTGTCGCACATTCATCTCAGAACACTTTCCTTGCTGGGCAGATAGGGTTATTGTAAGTTTGCAGTAGTTTCTCTTCTGATTACTCTGGAGAAGGACTCTTTCTTTGTCTCGGTACCCTGAGTTCAGTCGCTTGTTCGGAGGTGAAGCTGAGTGATCTTGGAGATTAACAAACTAGTGGTAATCAGAATCATTTGCTTTTATTTTTTCTCTGTGAAACAGATTTAAGCATTTATCTTTTTCTGTATTTGAATTAGGAGAGTAACCGTTTTTCCTCTTGGATTTATGCCTCTATCTTTCTGAATCATTAGTTTTCCATTTTATTACATGAAATTCTTTGAGAAAATGTATAATGGCCTTGGTGATGGGTTTTTTCCCTGTTCATCTACTATGCCTCCCTTTAAAATAAGTACTTTAAAAATTTTTTTTAACTATTCAGTATCATAAGTAGATCTTAAACTGGTGATGGGTTCTCTTTACAGTAGGAAGTACAATCTGATGTTAAATTTTAGAAATTTTCCTGCGCAGTCTCTAAAGACCCAAAAATGAGATTTCGCTTGTGTAAGCAGAAAAAAAGATAATGAACTTTAAAAATGAAAAAAAGAAAAAAAAAAAAAGAAAGAGGAGGCTTCACGCCCCCACGACTCACCGCCAAACTTTTTTGAATGTGTTAGTGTAGAAATACATGAACCATCTTTCAGTTTAAGAGTCTTTGATCTGTGGGCAAGGAAACAAGTGTAACCTGCGCTCTCCGGTCACCATGGCTATGAAGCCATCAGCACGCAGCCTGTTCTCCGGCCCCTCGGGGCCGCCCCACTTCCTACTCAGACCACAGCGGCTTCTTTTCCGTAGTCTTAGTAACAGCGTGGACAGTTCCAAGCCAGGACTCCAGCCAGATGACCTCATGGGTCTAGAGTCAGGGCCTCGGAACTCCCTCCCTCAGGTGGAAAGAACCCAGTTGATTTACTGGATGGGGCCTTAGGGGACAGGGATCCAGTCACCCGTCACTGCCAGTGTTCGTTTGCATGCAGGACATCCTCACCCTGTTTGATGACTGCCTCCTATTGATTCTTTTTGAAACCCAAGGATGACAGAGGTTTGGAGGCTGCAAATAGACACTTGGTAGCAAGCGACAGCTGAGTTACGTGATTACTAGAAAGAGATGGAGTTTTGACCACCCAGCTCCCTCCACCTGAGTTCTCTGTCGTCCAGGGTCCGTGTCCCTCATCAAATCTAGACTCAGACAATTTGGACTTGCCTTTGGCATTGTGACCACTCACAGCACCCAGCCCACCTGAGGCTGGGGGTTTCACACTACTCTCACCGGAGGGTGGAAAGTGGGGAGTTCGGGGTGAATACTAGCGTTGCAACACTAAGAAACTGTGCACACGCTGAGAAGTGGGATCCTTGCGTCTCGGGTGGATTTTCTTTGTCCGCAGAGTAACATCAAAGCCAAGAAAGATGGTTTCACCTGTAAATATGTGTCTAGACTGTTTTTAAATGTTTTCTTGTGAATGCTTCATTTGGCTCCAGGAGGCCTCGGGCACCTGTGTCAGCTGGTATTTGGGCACTTTATATTTTTCTAATAACGTGTTTTGGAACCTGTACTCTAATAAATCATAAGTTTCTTTTTAAAATTTTTCCAAAGTTTTCTCCACTTTAAAAATCCCTGTTATAAAAGTAGAACTTTCACAATGTTAAAATATTAAATATTTGGATATAATAACTTCTTTTCTCTTCCAATGAATGAATGCCAAGATTTTCTTTGGTACAATGTTAGCAAGTGGGACTTGGACTTACCTAGAGAGGCCGCGTAAACGGCCCAGTTTCCTTGCAGAACAGAAAGACCCACCGCGACAAGCAGCAGAATGTCTCTCACTTCTCTTCTAATCAAAATATGCAAAAGTTGGCCCTGCTGAAATTTTCCTCAATGTTGGTGAGCGCACAGGGTATCTTTAGTCTGTGATTTTCCTGCCAAACGCGAATTTTAGAAGCTCGCTAGTAATCTTGAGAGTTCATCTGCTTGTAGTGCAAAGACTTCAGCTTTTCAGTTACGTCGAAGTCTGTGTTTGTGAGACAAGAACGTCGGGGGCTCCGAGGGAAGCCCCAGCAGGAGGTCAACGTCGACCCGGCATCCGCGCGCCCTGCAGCCCGCCCAGAGTGTCCGGCGCAGTCCCATTCTTCCTGCCGTTGCCGCGCGTGGGCTGCGCAGTCTCCAGTCGCCTGCGCTGCAGTGTTTCTCGGAGCCTGTAACGTGCTGTTGGGCGGCGTGACTGTTAGAGAGCCTGCAGTGTGTCCCATCTTCGACCCTGGAGCGTCCCTCCCGTGCACACGCCGCGTCCCGGGGCCCGGTGCGTGCCGGCCACCGCTGGGGAGCACTGTCTCAGTGAGACGCCGGCCCCCCAGCCACGCCTGACTCGAGTCCATCTGAGCGTCAGCCCAGTTGGGCCAAGCGTCTCATTGGAAACTGTTACCTGTTACCCATCAGTCAGACTTTGAAAGGCCGCCTTCATGTTGTCTGTCTGCCTGAACCCTGTTGTAGATCTCGACTATAAGTGCATTGACACCGCAGAACTGTTTGATTGCGAGAACCTGCGCGGAACGCTGTTGCTAAATCAGTTTAACATTTTCCCATATCTACTTACTGTCTCGTTCTAATTTTACAATGTCAGATGTCTCGGTCTTCCCTAATGTATCGCGTCGAGTCGCGCGTCCCTGGTTTCGGCTGTCTTCTGCTACCATCAAGGAAGTCCCTTTGCTATGAAGGGAAATGCTTTTCTCTCACTCCTTATTCCAGATATGTGAACTTGAACCACCAGCAACTTTTTAATTCGAGAGTATCTTGTGACCGTGAAAATCAAGATGTTTGTCTTTTGTTTCCGGGAGGGGAGGAGAGACTGTCCACCCGGAGGAAGTGAGGCAGTCAGCTCTGTGGCAGTGCATTTTTGGAGACGTTAGTAGCTGTATTGCATGTATTACTTTGTACTGCTTGCTTGCTTTGAGCCAGGCGCTGGCCACACGTGGACGGCCCTCCCCGCAGCGCTACAAGGCAGGGCCAGGTAGTGAACATTGGGACTGCACACTGTCTGCCACAGACTCTTCTCTGTTTTTAAAACCCTACAAAACAACCAATCTGAGCCCGGGGGCTGTACAGAAGCGGGCCGGAGGTGGGACGCAGCCCGCCAGCCGTCGTCTGCTGACCCCGGCCGGGGGCGGGGCCTGCCTGGCATCCCACTGCCCCGATGGGGAATGCGCGCTCTGCCCGTGCGTAGGGGGACCTGGCGTTCGACAGCCACACTACCGACTACCTCGCAATGTTTTTACCTTTCGCCTTGCAGCAACTTTAACTTCTGACCTTTCACTTCTGAAAATTTAGAATCAAGAGAAAAGGACATTCCTATGGTGATTAAAGTGTGCAATTATAGCATAAATGTATTATGGCCATTTAGCAATGACTGTATTAGGGTAATGCTAGTTCTGTAATAAATAGATCCCTGAAAAATGCAATGGCTTGAACACATGAGAACTTTTTTGCTGAAGTAACACTGGGTAGGGGGGTGGGTGGGTGCATTGGCCCTGAGGCCATCGTTTAAGATTCTAGGTGGGGGTGGCGGGTGGGGAGGAACACCCTGGGGCCATCTCTGACCAACCTGGAGGGGATCGAGCCTGGGGGCGCGTGTCTGGGGGCCGAGTGTCTGAGGGGCTTCTGTGAGACGAGGCCGCAGTGGCACTTAGCACTTCCACTCGCATTCCCGGCGGGGCAGCTGGGGAGGAACAAGGAGTTCGTGGCTGGCAGCTGCTGCCCCTGCCTCCTGCACAGTGTGCTCTTCCCAGGGCGGACATGCCCCGATTCCTGGCAGGGTCGGGGCGGGGGAGGCGGGCAGGCAGCCTGTGTAACTCGGGCTGGCTCTGGCTACAAACGTTGCCCCGTCACTGGCTTCTGCCACAGCGTGGTGTCCAGGCAGTGGGGGGTACTCCTCACAAGTCGAGCGGTCGTGAATCCCCAGTCTGCAACAGGTGGCCTGGGAGGGAAAGCGGGGAGGCTGGGCAGTGGCCCGTGTGCCCAGGAGGAGACGCGGTTTGGGCCTCCACCACCTTGCCTGCCTCCACTGTGTCCGTACCCACATACCCAGACCCCTGGGCTCTGCACTGATGAGGTGCTGCTGCTGGGTGGGGGTCGTGAAGCCCTGGGACGCATCTTCCCCAGTGACGTCGCAGGTGAGTGTCGGGGTGCCCCTCCCTGGCGGCCGTGTAACTCAGCCACATCCAGCCTGGTGCAGGTTTGGGGGGCCAGTCTGGGACTTCACGCAACAAGCCCGAGGTCCCCTGGCAGTGATGCCCCTGGAAACTCAGCAGGCTGCTAACCCCTCTGTACGTTATCAGTCAGCCCCCAAATTCTTTTCCAGAACTTTGAAGTCTACGGGATTTCCTTCTCGGTCCTACGCCTCTCTGTTCCCCCTGCCTTCCTGGTGGGTACTTGAACCTGACACAAGGCAGAGCTGAGTGAGTTTTTGCCCCCATCCCTTACTGTGGGTACACCCACGTGTTGCCTTTTTCAACATCAGAAGCTGGGGCTTCTGGCTTCATTTCAGTTCATTTTTGCCTCGTCGGCAGCAACGTTCCGTCCCTTTTCCACTGTGTCCCAAGACCAGCTACAGTACAGGGCTTTCACCTTGCAGATGCGACAGTGTTACCAGGTACGGCCCACAGACACGGCTCTCCATCCCCCTGGCCTGCCACGGGCATCACCCTGCTTCCCGGCGGTTCGGCGGACCCTCCGTGGAGTCCAGGTTTCGTCCCAGGGCTTCTCGTTTCCAGGGCATTTTGTTGTTTCAAAGTTTCAAGTTTCCATAGGAAGTTCCACTTCCTTTTTGGCTGTGCAAAAATATCTGAGCACAATGGTATCAATTTTGGGGGGAATGGAAAGGGCTAAAGCAAGTTGTGTTGTGAGCTTAGAAAAAGAGGTCAGCCAGGCCCTGGCTGGTGTGGCTCATGGATTGAGCTTCAGCCTCTGAGCTAAGGGGTCACCGGTTCTAGTCCCAGCCAGGGCACACGCCTGGGTTACCGGCCAAGGTCCCCAGTAGGGGGCGTGTGAGAGGCGACCACACATTGGTGTTTCACTCCCTCTCTTTCTCCCTCCCCCTATCTCTCAAAATAAATAAATAAGATCTTTGTTCAAGTTCAGAGTAAAGGAAGGAGGTGTGGGGGGGACCGGCGGGACAGTCTGCATTACAGAATCCTCCCCTGGTTAGACGTCCAGTCTGCTTCTCCTAAAATGGCAGGATTCTTCACGGACTTGCATCTTCAGGTGGTTGCGTTTGGGGCAAGTCAGGGGTCACTGTGAATGGGTCCATGACCCTTCCCGTTCCCAGCCACTCCCGTCGCAAGGCCTCAGAGCTCTCTGGTCCACCCCCAGCTCTAGGAGGCGGCGTTCCCCACAGCGCCGCGCCCCACCCCGCCTTTCGCAGCCTTTCTCCCCATAGTACGCCCCGCCCCCACCCCTGGACCATTATTTTAGACAACTGTTTTCCTAATTCTCTTCCCCCAGGAAATTGCTCGACCTTTTGTTCAATTGAAGCGAAATTCATGTAACGTGAAATGAACCATTTTCAAGTGTACAGACCAGTGGCATTTCATACACCTGCGTGTCGGGCAGCCTCCCCCGACTTGGAGTGATAAACGTGTTCTCACGTGTTCTCAAGCCAAAGGCCAGCCACGCCCCGTTTCTCCTTCCCTCAGCCCCAGTCTCCCTTCTGTTTTCGGGGATGTCCATATTTTAGACATTGCGTGTAAAAGGGACCGTGTAATATGTGTCTTGTGTGTGTCTGGCTTCTATCACCGAGCATCATGTTTTCCGAGTCCAGTCACATCGTAGCGTATATCGATCCATATACTGCATCCCTTTTCATGGCTGCATAATATTCCATCATGTGGATAGGCCGCACTTCATCCATCCAGCTGTTAAAGGACCTTTGAGCTGTTTTCATCTTTTAGCTATTGTCGGTAGAGTCGCTATGAACCCCGATGAGATTTTAATACCACAGATAACTGTATTATCCACTTAGGTATTGCATGTATATCTGTGCATCCCACATTAAAAGAGTAATAGTGTCATTCTTTCCCCGCAAAAACCAGATTTTCCCTTTGGGGGCGATACTGCCCCAGTGAGAAATCGAGTCCCACCTGGGAGGTGGCATCAGGAAGAGCTGCTGTCTGTTTCATTTCGCTGGTTGACCAGGGCTGTCTTGCTTCGAGTATCTTTTAGTGTGCCCAGTTCTGTGCCAGGAGATCACTTACTTCTGCCACCGAGGAATGCTAACGTGTATATTCTGAAGACTTTTTTGCATATGCATTGTGTAATCTTCTTTACTTAGTGTTATAATAACTTGATTCCAGAATCTCCTAAAAAAAAATTCAACCAAAGATACACACACACCTCCTGATGAGTTTGACTTATCGCCTCTTATAAAAGTAGGATAAAAGAAAGGGCAGTTGTAAGAACTTATGGGTAGTGGCTACCCTTGTACTAGACTATTTGCAAAATTGCTTCCATGCGATGAGAGAATCTGGAAGGGAAGGGGCCCTTGACCATTCATTCTGACGCTTACCAGATGGAAACAGTGAGTTACGTGACTTGAACCGGCAGGTGACTCAGGGCAGGGACCTGGGCCTGGGCCTTTGGACTTGACCGGGGCAGTGTCTCTGCCCCCAAGTTGCTCCCTCTGTGGGGTTTTCTTGCCTTACACAAAACGTCTTGCTAACATCATCATCCTTTGTTGTTTGGGGTTCAGAACCCCTGTTGTGTCTCCCTCACTGACTGCCCCGTTGCCACCTCCTGGCCACCTTCATCCGCTCCCTTATTCTTGCTCGTGTTTACTTTGGTGAAGGAAAATGAGTGTTTCCCTCACTTATCTCAGCGATTTCTGTCCTTGAAATGTGGAGAAACCCAGTGCATAACCTGCAGGGGGGCTGCTTTTTGCCCCCATTTTCTCGAGGTAGAAGTCCACAAAATCCGCACCCGATTAGCGTAGGGACACACGCATTCCACTGTGTTACCTTCACCTCCAAAAGTTTCCCCGAGTCCCTTTGGGGTTTTTCACTTTTTGGTTGTGGTGTGTGTTTGTTTGTTTCCTGTGGTTAGAACATTTAAGACAAGTATGCCCTGTTAAAAAATTTTTTTAAGGTTTTATTTATATTTAGAGAGGGGAAGAGAGGGAGAGAAAGATCAGTGTGTGGTCACCTCTTGCACACCCCCAACGAGGGACCTGGCCTGCAACCCAGGCATGTGCCCTGACTGGGAATTGACCTGGTGTCTCTTTGGTTTGCAGGCTGGTGCTCAATCCACTGAGCCACACCAGCCAGGGCTCTTAACAAAATTTTAAGAGCCCTGACTCAATCTATGGCATTGGCAGAGAACACTGATTTGACCTAAGGTTGATCTGGGGCTGTGTTTTCTTCAGCAATTCTGTTTGGGTCTGTCTGCTTCTGAGGCTGCCTCATTATGTGAATGAGCCAGTGACATCCTGATGCATCGAAATCGTCATGCCCTCACCCCTCTACCCCTCTTGGGCTTCACACTTTGACCTTTCCTGGGCTGCTCAGGTTGCAGAGCCAGTGGTATGGCCGTACCAACCTGCTTATGTTTCTTACGAACCAGCCAGCCAGTTCCCCCTCCCAATGTCCTGTCCGTGCTGCTGTGTAACAGCTCTCCACGTCCGTCCTACTCTCGGGCTTTTGTTCCCTGAGCCCCGGAGAATAGAAACGTTCTCACTACCTTTCCCTCTCCCCAAAGGGCTCTCAGTGTTTAGAGACCTCACAGCACCGTCTTGAGAGGCCCGCCAGCTGTCGTGTAAGGACCGGAGAACCTGCGCACTGGGGCTCTGCCAGGTCCCTTGGCCTTAGCTGATACTGTCCCCGACAACGTCAGCTTTGCTCACGGGCCAGTGGCCTGCTAGCGCTGGGCGTGGGTTACTGGGCACTGGCCAGAGTTCTCCACTGCAACAGGCCTGTTCATCCTCTGCTGTCAGGACCTGACCCCTAGGATGTGGAAACACGGTTGGCAGAGACGTAGTCCAGCCTGGAGCAAGTATGTGTGTCCGGGGGTAGGGGCGGGGGGTTTAGACTTGAGGTGCCACAGGTGTCGTGCTGCGGCTGTTTGGAGCCGGCCGGGCTTGGGGCCAGGGGCCCCTCCGCCCCAGGCCGCCTGGCCTGTTCGTCTTCGGTGAAGTGGGCTCTCCTGCCCGACCACCCCCCAGGCCTGAGTGGGATGCAGAGAGTGGACCTGTGCAGTCAGCATTCACACATACACCTGTGTCCGCAGCAGCCAACACAAGGGGCAGGCGGACGCTTCCAGAGAGTTGGATGAAGTCATCGACCTTCCCGAGATCAAAATCTGCTGCCCCACAGCACAGACGCTTCACGCCAGAGCACGGACTCCGAGCCTTTTCTCCGTGCCAGCCCCGGTGCTCTCGGAATGACCCTGAATGGGACACGCGAGGAAGCCGGAG